GCAAAGGTTGGGAAAAAAAAAAAAAAAACAGAACCAGTTAAAAAGGAATGATGAGATTTGAGCGGGATCGTGCCCTCTGTATCTCCATTAGCTCTGTCTATAAACCTGGTGGATAGCTGGAAAGAGTCGGGGGAGAGAACATTCAATCCAGAAGAAGCAACATTGAAAAGTTAAGAGCCTACATACAGCAAGATACAGAATCCGATGATGTGAAATCTGTGGTCCTAAGCTTGAGTCCTCAGTCAACAACAATAAGGTGGGACCTAAGAGAGCCAGCTGCACAACATTGTGGGCTAAGACACCTGTGAGGCCCGGCATGATGGCACACACCTGTAATCTCAGCCCTTGGGAGGTAGAGGCAGGTGCATCAGGGGTTTAGGGTCATCCTCTACTGTACAGCAAGGTAGAGTTTGTCTCAAAACAAAGCCAAACAAACAAAGGTATCGTGAAGCTCAGTTTGCCCCACAGTTTCAGAGAAGTCCATCCCTTTGTGGTCCAGAAAACCTGATAAACTGGAAAAACAAGGGTCCCCTATGTGTGGTGCTGACCCAGCCATGCCTAGAACCCGGCCTTCAGGTTGGGATACTGTGGTTCAAAGGTACAGGGAAACTCAAGGTGATTTCAGAAGAACACGGGCCACATGACAGTGTTGGGACATGTGAGTGAAGGAACTGGCGATTTTGTCTGGAGAAGAAAAAAGCTAAACGCCCTCCGCAATCAAGCAGAAAGGAGGAAAGAGGCTGGGAAGGTGGGGGTGGGCAGCATGATTAGCTTTGGGTGTAGGTCCAGGAGGGGACTGGGGCTTTACCAATTTCCCCAAGCCCACTGCCAAAAGCCACCTGAAGTCTTGCTCATAGAACATTTCTGTACCTTGACCTACAGACATCCCAACTCGGTGTGTCGGCATACAGAAATCGACGCCCCAAAATCTCCCTGTGTTTTTTCTTGGGCATTATCCATCGTTTGTAGAGTATGGCCAGGGTCTAGACTGAGAGCAGATCCAGTCAGTCACCCCTTTCAAATTCTAGACACCCATCATCCCAAAGCTGTGGGACTCTGGGTCTCAGGTCAGAGCAACGTAAGCTTATTTATCTATTTATTCATCTGGGTTTCTTTTTTCTTTTTTTAACCTTTATTTAGTGTGTAGATGAGAGGACAACCAAAGGATTCAGTTTTCTCCTTCCTCCACGTGGGGCCCAATGATCAAACTCAGATCATCAGTCTTGATGGCCATGTGCCTGGCCCCTGAGGACTCCTTTATTCACCGTGGGGAGGGAGGTGTGTGTACATTTGTGCACACATGTTGAGGCCAGTGATCAACCTTAGGTCATTTTCCACCTTGTTGTTCGAGACAAGGTCTCTCTCTCACTGAACCTGAAATTCACCAATTCAACTGGCCTGGCTGGCCAGGGCTCCTGCTGCCTCAGAGGCCTTCCCAGCACTGGGATCACGTGTGCGTGGCACCATACCTGTTTGCTGGTTGTAATTTTTCACATGAGTTCTGGCTGGTCTGCTTCTGCAGGAAGCACTTCGCTGACTGAGCATCTCCCTAGCCCCAGCGTGCCATCGAACAGGAAGCTTACACTCGAGCCAAACTCATCACGGTTTTGGGATTTTTTTGTTTGGTTGTTCGCTTTGTTTGGGGGACAGGGTCTTAGGCAGCCAAGGCTGGCTCTGAATTGCTGGTCCTCCTACCTCTCCCTGCCAAGTGTTGGGATTACAGGTGTGTGTACCCCCATGCTTGGCTGAGGCCGGTTTCTCTTCTCCGCCACCACTCATTAACGAGTCTGGATCAAGTCACCACCACCCTCCAAGTCTTAATCTTCTCCCCTGTGAAATGACAGCCGTCCCTCCGGGGCTGATGTGCATGCAGCTGGGATGATACCATCAAATCTGAGCTCCATGAGCAGACTGTGCCACAGCCCTCGGCCACTGGGAAGTCCTTTCGAGGAAACTATGATAGCCAGTTCATCTCGTGGGGGACACTGAGTGTGAAGGAGAACAGAATGCCTCTTTAGATTTGGAGTGACTTTTCTGAAGCAAAAATATTGAGTGTTCCATGGCAGTGTCAATGGACAGCACCCGGGGAAGATTATAGACACTTACTTTTCCTGTCCAGTTTACTGTAGTAAAGAGTTCTCGGTGCAGAATTTATCTGCTCTCAGTCTCTGAGAAGAGAACCAAATAACTTCAAAACAAAGAGGCATTCATTTTTCTATCCTAAGAAGACCAACAATATTCCTTAGTGCTATTTTCCTACATTTTAATGCTTTAAGAACGTACATAGGCAGGCTTCTATGGAAGCTGTAAGGAGGTATCAAATTCACTACAGAGCATGGCATATGAACAGATGTTTCCTCTAAGTTCGATTTCCTCTGCCTCGAATACCCGCCAGGCAGGTCCCTCTTCTACCTGCAGGGCTTCCTGAGGTGCCAGTTGTCACTTCTGGTAGGGCCTCTGTGTGTGTCATGAGGGCTGGTCACTGCACAGGAGCTGTGAGCTGGCACAGGTAAACACCCTGACATGCTGTACCCTAATGTGAGGCTGTGCCCCCCAGAGGAAGGGATGCCATTTCACCCACACAAAGCCATATGGGCTGGTGGGTATGCTAACCTGAATGTTGGGGGCTCTGTTTTGATTTGATTTGATTTTATTTTTAAGCATGATCCTCCTCTCAAAAATACTGTGGTTGCTAAAGCCTTCCCAGCTTGACTGACAAGGACTCCCGTTCTCTGGTAGCACCAACCGTGATCCCAGAGGTCATTCCTGCTCCCTCCACTCACTCTCTCTCAGACCCAACATTTGATGTCTGCCTCTGCCTTCAGTATGCGCCTAGAATCTAAGCGCTTTTCATCACCAGGTTAAGCTACCTCTCCTCTCCTCTTGATCCTCCAAGCAGGATCTTGAAAGGTCACTTCTGCCCTTGCCTAGCAATGGCGTGCTCACAGTCCAGGTCTCAGAGACCCTTTTTACCTACGCTACTCTGCTTAACTCCACAATGGCTTTCCAGGTCTTCGGATGGAGGCCCAAGACTTACACATTTGGCCAACATCTTAGAAAGACCCTGTCAGAGGAAGTGGAGCCCTCAATAATACCTGGTACAGAATCACACCCAGAAGTCATTCCTGAATAAGTGGATGGTCTTTCGTCATACTCCCGGGGCTACAAGCATGCCCAACTCAGTCCTTCAAGATGCTAACTGCTCTGAGCAGCACTGGTACGGGCTAACTTGGAAGAAGTCTACCTCTGCCCCTTCTCTCCCTCCAACCTGGCTATTCAGCCTCCCACATTCTGCAGCAGGCCTCCTCATCCCTTCCTCTTCACAGACAAACGTTGCCTGCTTTAGGGCTTTATAAAACAAAAGGAAAGCTAGACGTGGTAATAATCCCAGAGGCCGAGGCAGATACAGCAGTCCTCGGAGTTCAAGGCCAGCCTAGTCTTCACAATGAGTTCCAAGCCAGGAGGGCCACAGAGTGAGACCCTGTCTTGAAAAAGAACAGTTGAATTATAACTTTATGAAAGGCTCTGCAGTACAGGAACAGAAAGGCCTGGAAAAAGAGAAGGGATAGAGAAAACCAGAAAAGGCCACCCCACCAGTGCTGGGATTATCTATCCTAACACTCTCACACACCTATTCCCCCTCATACCTCCACCTCTCTCTTCACTGTGAGTATACTCCTTTGATGTCAGGGACTAATCCCACATCAGCGCAGACATCTGTGTGGTCCTGAGACTCAGTCATCAGTCACGGGTGTCAATCCCACAAGCCCTGCTTATCTGCAACCTTGGGGCAGGGGTGGGAGGGATGGCTGTGTGCTGTTGCTAAAACAATAAACACAGGTGCCTGGTCATATCAGCACCCATTCAGCTGGGGTCATGTCACCAGGATCTCTCTCCGTGACGGCTCAGCTCCCCCATGCAACTGAGAGAGCAGGAAGATAACCCGGGCAGTGGGCACTGAGGCCCACTGGGGGGAGATTTGGGATGGATCAGTGCCTCTCAGGGGGGTGGGAAACCACCATGACAATATGCCTCAGCTGCCTGGGTTTAGAGAAGATGGAGTCCAGCTGAAAATGGGAGGGAGCTGGCAAGGGAGCAACATCCCGTGACAGCTTAGTCCATCAAGCCGAAATGGGGAGCCTGAGATTAAACAGCTGCAAGATGACAGGTGGCTGAGTCCGGCCACAGGGAGTCCTGAAGACAGAGGTCACCCAGGCACAGGAGGAGCTAGCTGCCAGAGTACCTCGGCCATCCTGATAAGGAGCTCCATCCAGATGGCCCTTACAAAGAGCTGAGCTTCTGTACCTCCTTGGTGACAAGTTCCTGAATTCAAGATTGCCCCGAGGAAAGGACCTTACATGGGGTGAGGCAGTCCCCTCCAGTCCAGGGCAATTCCTGTGAGCCGCTGGCATCCACCACTCCTTGTGGCGAAGAGGGACGGGGATATAGGCAGTGCTCTGTGGCATCTGCAGCGGAGTCCTCACACATGCTCCTCCTCCATGACTGTGACGGTCTGGGCTGAAGAGCCTCTCCTCTCCCATCACTGCTGCCAAAGTGCACCTCCCCACATGCCATTGTTTTTGTTTGTGTATCTCCTTTAGGACAGGAACACCTCATGCTTCGGTTACACCACACAAATAACAAGAAATAAACACAGTGTGCTAAATAAGAGGTCCCTGCATCAGACTATGAGTTCAAATACTGTGGCTTCTCGTTGTAAGAGTAATCAATCACTTTTCTTCCTTGCGCCTCAGTTTCTCAATTTGTAAAACAGGAGATGGTCATTATTGCCTTTTAGGATTTTGTTTGTTTTTGTTTTTTTGAGACACAGTTTCTCTGTGTAGCTTTGGAGCCTTTCCTGGAACTAACTCTATAGCCCAGGCTGGCCTCGAACTCACAGAGATCCACCTGCCTCTGCCTCCCGAGTGCTGGGAGCCTTTTAGGGTTATTAAGGTAGAATAAGCAGTGTCCAAAAGACACCCAGTCGGTACTGGGTAAGGTGAGAGGCTGTTTCCTGTGCCCTTTACTCAACCACAATCGACAAAGATCTGATTATTCAGTAACCAGAGAGAATGTAGGGAGAGAGAGCCAGAGGAAGAAGCAATGGACCGCTGAGCAGGCATCCTGGGGAAACTGTGTCCCTTAGTAGTGACGGCGTTGGAGCTAAGTGAGGCCGGAAAGCTGTGGCTGTGGTCCTGTGACCTGCAGCTAGGAGGGGCCTGAAACGGGAGGGAGGAAAGTTGAGGGCAAGACCCAAGATGGAGCTTAAGCCCTGACTCGGAGCCTGCATCCTATTTCGGAGCGGCTCCGCACTTCAATCTGCCCTCTGTAACTCAGTGTCTTGTTACAAATATCTCTGCGCACATGGTCTTTGCTGTCTTTATCTCCCCCGACAACTTTCTCCATGGATAAGCAGAAGGGCATATCATAAATACCAGGCGTTTCCTCCCTCTCGGTTAGATTTCAGGACAATGTATTTATCGCTGGCTCATCATATGGGCCACCACACATGCTACAGAAAATAGGAAACAGTCTGTATTAACTGGGAACTGTGGAGCCCGGCTCTCTTGCATCCTGTCTCCCACAGGCTGGGCCAGGCCGGATACCCCACTGCAAGCCCACTTCCGGTTGCCTCCATCCTCTCCCTCAGCAATGCTTTCCTGTCCTGGCTAGAGAGGGACCTTTGCCCTTTCTGCATCTGTGTCAGGGGTGGGAAGGGAGGGTGTGTCAGACCGCAGGGTTCTTCCACTCCCGCTGTTCTTGCAGTTTCAGTGTAGCCTCCCTAACAGGACTCTGAGTCACAGAGTCCATATTCAGACAGCAGAATTCGAGTTAGGTTATTTTGCTTAAAACCCAAAGGATTCAAACAGATGCAAATGTGCCATGAGTTAAAACTTAAAAGGCTAGTAGCATTTGTTTTGAATACTTGACTAAGCTCAAAGCTCACCTCAGCTGGCTCAGGACACTGTGGTGATTGGACTGTTTGAAATGGGCAGCAGAAGAGAGCCTCGCTTTGACCAACTGACCTAAGTTACGTGACTTCGTAGAACGAAGTAGCCTTGCATTCTCTCATTTCACTAACCATCTTCTCACCTAACTCACTCAGCATACATCCTATTATTGTGACTTTTAACGGGCCAATGGTTGTTCTAGGGCTGTAGGGAATGCAAGGAAATGCCTTGGAGAGCATGAGAGGGTAGTAGGGAAGAGAGGTGGGGCTGCCCAAAAGAAAGGGTTACTGATTTGGAGACCTCACGTTGTAGTAGGGGCAAGGGTGGAGCTAGCCTAACACTCATATAGACACATGGTGTTAACAGTTGCCCTGGATTTAACCATTAAATTTTATCCTGAAGACCCTGGGAAGTTTCTGATGCCTTTTAAGGAGAATGGTTCTACAAGACCAGACAATGAATAGTTCCTCAAGACTGTTCCACAAATAAAGGTTGAAGGCAAAGCATCCGGCTTTTCTTGATCAGTTGTCTGCTTCTGACGAATGCATAGACTACCTGAAAAAAAGTTCAACAAGTTATTCTTCATGACTAAATGCATGAAGATGTTTCTGAATAGCAGAGATAAGAGAGTGGGAAGAACGGGGACCTTTTGAAGTCTAGAAAAAGTTTGGAAAAGCCACATGGGAATCCAAGCAAAAAGTAAGCAGATGATGGAAAAGTGATTGACAACATCCTTAGCCATTGAGGTTGTGCAAATTCAAGCCACAGCAAGATACAGATTCACATATACGATCGGATAAGGAAAAACCTGCACTCTCCTACGCTGCCAGCAAGGAGTGGAGTACAAAGCGGAGCTGCCGCTTTAGGGAGTATTAATTCCTCAGACAGTTAAATAAATATAGACGGAGCACTGGCCCAGCGTATCGCTGCCAAGTATACATACAAGGGAAATAAAAGCACAGGTCCACTCAAACTCCACCCACCAATGCTCACAACATTATTCATAGGAGTTAAAAAATAAAGATAGGGCAGAGCAGATACCTCGGCCCGTAAACGTGCTTCCTTTGCAGGCGTGAGGACCTGAGTTCAATCCCCAGAGCCCATGTGAAAAGGCCAGGCATTATGGTGTGTGCTTACAATCCTGGCCCTGGGGAGGTTGAGACAAGCAAGTCTCCAGGGTTCCCTGACCCGTCAGCCTAGCCTACTTGGTGAGGACCAGACCAGTGAGAGACCTGGCCCCATGCACGCCCCCCCCCCGCCCTCCCCCCCCCCCCCCCCCCCCCCCCCCCCCCCCCCGCCCAACTCACCTGAGAAAGGACAGCCAAGGCTGGCCTCTGGCTTCCACATGCATGTGCTCCCTCATTTCCCCATCCAGAAGTCCATCAGCTAATAAATTAGTGAAATGTGGCCTACAACTCAGGCAATCAATCCAACTGATGTCTTCTGAGCACTCCAAAAGCCAAGGCAAGAAGGCAGAAGAAAGGGAAAGAACCCCACAATAAATAGCAGTATCTAAGTTGCTCAAGGCATCCCCTATCGGAAGTGTCCCATACTATCTCATTATGTGCTAGATATGTTTATGTGCATATTAACATAAAACAATACATACATTGTGCTGCATCCTCCCAGTGAAGGCGGTGCTCTCGTAAACTTCAGTTTTACAGGTGGGAAAACTGAATTCTAAAAAGATTACATAATTAGCCCGTGGTCTGACAGCCAATAAGGACAGAGCAGGGGACCTAAGCCAGGCTGCTGAGCACACCCTTAATTAACCGTGCTGAGGGGTTCGATGCTGCCTCCCCTGAGGGGCAGAACTGGAGACAGGTGCAGGTCATGAGTAGTTAGGGCCTTGGGAGGAGTCCTAGCTGCTGTGGGTCTCAGCGAGGGGGAACTGGTTCTATGAGTGTGGCGATGGCATGCAGAAGCGCACACGGATGGAGGACTCTGTGGTTATGACTCAAGGCTTTTGGAGACAGGCTCACGCACAGCTTGGCTCATTTACAGCCTGGTGCATTCCAAGGTGTGGAGGAAACGAGGCTGCGGAAAGAGCATGGCTGTTGCCCTGTGGGCTTTAGACAGCCATGGAAGGTTGTATATCAATCCTGGGCGGTGGAGTGTGGACATATTCCATGGCTTGAAATCCTATGATTTCAGAGAGATGAGCATGCCAAACACACGTCTCTGGCGGACTCCTGCCACCTACCAGCCACCCGTGGCAAGAAGCAGGCTCCCGAGGAACAAATTAGTTTGTGTCAGTGGTTTCCAAACTTTCTATTATGGATAGTGCCTCTCAGCAACACTAAGAATAGTGTTTAATATACAGTTTCGTGTTAAACAGTAATTAACCTATTTTCAACATTTCCACTAATCAAGGAGATTTACAACAGGCAATCAGAGCCTCTGGGGAGTGGAGCACCAGCCTCCCTGGCTGGAGTGCTGTGAGCCCTAAGCCAAAAAACCGCAACCTCACCAACCAAGGCAGCTCCCTGTGGGAGCCGTGTGGTCGCTTCCTGTGAGATTTTTAGAGTAATAGAGTGTCTGCAGGTCCCTGTGAGCACATCTCCAGGCCAGAGGAGTGCCTAGGTGCTGTGCCAGGAGTCACCACCCTCATTCTGTCTTTTGTGGTCAGGGGTGGCATGGTAGGAAGCAGCACAGAGCACAAGCAGCCGTGCCTGAGGCCAGCACTTGGGCACTGGAGGACAAGACAGTGATAACAGAAGAGGAGCAGCACTGAGATTGCATACACACACACACACACACACACACACACACACACACACACACACACACATACATACACACACACTCACACACACATTCACACACACACACATACATACATACACACACACACACACACACACACACACACACACACACACACACACCTCTCCCCAGCTCTCTCAAGAGTTGTTAAGCATGTGGGGTTTTGTTCTTTTCAATAAAGACAATCCATCAGGTGTAGAGCCTATGCTGCTGGTCCACAATAAGAGTATAATATGAACCAGTTTCGTGTTTAAATTTTCTAATAGCTGCTTTTTTCTCCTTTTTTTTATTCCATTGAGGCAAGGCAAGTGCTCCACCACTGAGGTGTGCCCACTCCCCTTTTAGCCACATTTTAGAGAGAGAGAAGCAGAAAGACAGAGAGATTGAGCCAGAGGTGGTAACACATGCCTTTAAACCCCGCACTTGGAAGGCAGAGCAGGCGGATCTCTGCATTCAGGCCAGCCTGGTCTACAGAGTGAGTTCCAGGATACATAGAGAGATTCTGTCTTAAACAACAAATTTAATTTAATTTTAAAATTTATTATTGGGGGGCTGGAGAGATGGCTCAGTGGTTAAGAGCACTTACTATTCTGGCAGAGGACCTGGGTTCAGACATTAGCAACCACATGGAGGCTACATGTAGACAACATTCTACAATGCCTGTTCCAGGAAACCCAACACCTGTTCTCATCTCCACAGCTCCTACATGCACACAGTGCACATGCCTATACATATACTCAGGCAAACACACATAGACATGCAGTAACTAAACATTTAATACAATTTTTATTTTTAATTATTTGTGTATGTGGAGGGGTGTGGGCATGTGAGTGCAGGTGACCCCTCTGGAGCTGGAGTTGTGAGCTGCTCAACATGGATGCTGGGAACTCAACTCAACTCTATAAGAGCAGTATGCTTTCTTAACCACTGAGCCATCTCTCCAGTCAGGTGCTAGGGATTGAACCCAAGGCCTTGTAGATGCTAAGTGTGCCCTCTACCACTGAGCTATTCCCCCAAAAGCCCCTTTAACCCATTTTGGAAGGAAAAAAAAACAAGCAAAATTAATCATATTGGTATGTTTTATGTAATCCATACATCCAAATAGTACAATTTCACCATTAATAGTCATGTCACAGTTAATGTTGCAGTAGTAATGAGACTGGGTTTTTGGAGGTCCACTTTGGACTTGTGTGCTCACCGTCTGTTTTGACTAGTTCCACCCCACGTGCTCAAGAGCCATGTTGACCAATGGCTACACAGCTAGTCAAAGGAGGGTCTTCAATGGAGGGCTTGGGGCCTTCTCCAGACTCCAGGGCAGTGCTGGTTCTGCTCTAGTACAGACCCTGTTTTCTTTCAACCCAAGTCAATGATTTCTTGGAAGAAACCCTTAAAAGGTTTCCCAACCCATTGACCTATCCAGGGCACAGCTGACGGGGACTGGACCCTACAGAGTCTACAGGGTCTCAGGAACCTAAACTCCATTCAGTTCGATGAGTTCCTGACTAGGGGGACGTTCCCTTGACCTTTCTCTTATGCCCTGCCTTGTCTTTACCAAGTGCCTCTATTCAAGTGCCAGCTCAGGGGCTATTTTCTGCAGCATGCTGACTGGGATTTAGAACAAGGCTAACAGGAGGAGAAACAGAAGCCTTGAAAGAAAGGCCTCCCGGAGCAAGCTCCCTACAGCGCCCCTGTCTCGGGTTCAAGTCCTCTGCCCTTGGGCTCTGTAAGACACTCTTCAAACTGCAGAGCAAGCTCCCCTCGCCACTCACAGCAACCCCTGTGTTTTCCAGATGTTTGCAGCCAACTGAGCCTGACGGCCCCACCTCACCTTGAAGTCTGGGCCACCTTCCTGGGCCTTATTTCTGTGACTGCTTCTAGATGGCCATGCCACTCAATTATCCCAATGGCCCATCCGCACTTTAAGACAAATGGTCTAGGGCCAAGGGTGGATGCAGTCACATGCTCTGGGCAGTCCATGGACAGCGCTGGGCTTTGGGGTCCTCCTGTGCCCTCTGTACTGGCAGAGAGGACTGGTGACCCCTGTGACCCTATGTCCTGTCCATCTCATATCCAGAGGCCTGTTTCTCTTGCTGGAAGCTCCAAGATGCCTATCAAATTTCCCCCAGTGCCCAGGTGGCATTACGTGGTTCCTTCCTGTCCATCTCACACCATTTTGCCAGGCTTATGTGTAGCTGTTCAGTTCTTGCTTCTCTCTGTTGGTGTCATGGGGAAGGTGACACCTGGCTTCCTTGCTTGACAGCCAGCCTCTTGGTGGCAGAGACCGTGTTCCCTGTCATTTCTCTTCCCCGATTTCTTCTCATCCACTTCTCTCCCTGGGCCTAGAAAGTAAGAGCTGAATGCTTGGTCCCTAAAGGGAGGAGGTGTGTCGGGAGAATGGGGCGTAGGGAAGGGGCATCTTATAAAAGCAGGTAAGTTGGTGGGAAGGCTGGAGACCTCTCCCCATCAGGGTTACCTGTAGGGGACAGAGCATGCATGGATCTACAAATGCAGAGGAGGCAGGCGCTATGTTAGTGACCCATACCGTTCTCTCCTCTCCTAGCTGACTGCCATTGTTGCATCTAACCTTTCCCAGATCTCCGCCCATCTCTGCTCTGGAACGTACTCTTTCTTAATAATCTGTCTCTAATTCTATTGCATGTGTCCCTATCCAATCCTTCATTCCCAGGACACGAGAACCTGGGACTCTCAGTAAGTGTCCTCCAGACTCCAACCTACACCTATATAGCAGGGCAGGAGGGAAGTAGAAAGGGGGTAAGAAAGAAGGAAGTGGGGGAGGATCCTTGTGCCAGACATTAAGGGCAAAGGATAATATGTAGTTTCTGCTGAAGAGATGACTCATCAGTTAGGATCATTAACTACTTGAGTTCCATTTCCAGCACCTACATAGCAGCTCACAGCCATTTGTAACACCAGCTCCAAGAGATCTGACACCATCTTTTGGCCTCCCTAGGGACCTGCACCTCAGGTGAGTGTATTAACACACACACACACACACACACACACACACACACACACACACACACCATTAAAACTAACAAGAAACATGACATACAGTCAAATTAAACTCTAGGCCAGACATGACCTCCCCAAGGGCAGCCCACCAGCAGCAGAGCCTTAGCACGGTGCTGCCAGGGCAGGGAAGGAATGGCATCTTTTGAGGAGAAAGTCAAGAGGGCTTGTGTTAGTTGCTTTTTTTTAAAAAAGATTTATTTATTTTATTATGTATACAGTGTTCTGTGTGCATGTACATCCACAGACCAGAAGAGGGCACCAGATCTCATCACAGATGGTTGTGAGCCATCATGTGGTTGCTGGAAATTGAACTCAGGACCTCTGGAAGAACAAGCAGTGCTCTTAACCTCTGAGCCATCTCTCCAGCCCCCGTTAGTTGCTTTTTTACTGTTGCTGAAAATGACCTTACATCAGCTACTCAAGGAAGATAGGGTTTGCTTTGGCTCACAGTTTGAGGGGATACAGCTCATTGTGGTGTCAGGAGTCTGAGGTGGCTAGTCACATGTGTCCAGTGTCATGAGGTAGAAAGAAAAATGCTGGTGCCCAGCTCTGTCTCCTTTTTGTTCAGTCTGGTTCTGCACCCAGAGAATGGTGTCTCCTACCTTCAAGATGTGTCTTTCAACTCAGTCAATCCTACCTGGGGACATTTTCACAGACATGCACAGAGGTGTGTGTCCAGGGTGGCTAGAAAACACAGTTGATGGTGAAGATGAATTATCTCAGAACCCGAGCAGCCCAGCATCCTGCTCCCAAACTCCTCAGGGGAATCAGAGATTCAAGTCCCTCTGCCTCTGCACAGAAGCATCCTTAAGGGGGACAAGGGTGTTCAGGAATTAAAACCAACCCATGTGGAGACTTAGAAAAATGGGTCTAAGGCCAAACAAATGTTTCTTGTGGCTCTGAACTCTGGAAAATTATATCTAGAGTCAGACACTCATGGTGTTTATAGACTGTTAGTTAATCCAGATCTAAGGGAAATAAACATCGAGGCACACTGTGTTCTAATTACTACCCAGTCCACTGCATTCTTACAGTGCACTAACCAACTATTCTTCCTAAAACTAAATCAAGGACTATTGGATGTTTATTTAAGAGACAAAAATTTAGGTAAAAGAAAGGTTTGACTTCAGACCAGAATTAAGTTCAAATATCAACTATGCAATTCTAGGTGTTAAATTTAAGTAAGTGGGCCAGTGTAGTAGCACATGCCTATAATTCCAGCTAGTTAAAAGCCTGAGACAGGAGGGTCACAAGTTTGAGGACTGCCTGGCTATGTAGCAAGTTGAAGGCTACACCAGGCAAGTTACCAAGACTTGCCTCAAAATTTAAAATTATAAAAATAAAGAGAGGAGAATACACCTCAGTAGTAGAGCACTCGATTAACACCAGACCCACCTCCACCCTCCAGCTCCACAAATAATCATCTCATGAATTAATTAAAAAGAATTAAAGTTGTCTCAGTGGTTAAGAGCACTTGTTGCTCTTGCAGAGGATCTGGGATTCAGTTCCCAGCATCCACATGGCAGCTCACAATCTTTAGTAACTCCAGTTCCAGGGATTCAAGCCCTCTTCTGGCCTTTGCTGGTATTGCACACACATGATGCGCATAAACACATGCAAGTAAAACACTAACATAAAGCAAGTCTAAAAGGTGTTTTTAAAAGTTCTCCCTCTTTCTCCCTTCTCTTTCCTCCCCCTCTCTCCTCTCCTGCTCCCCCTCCTCCTTTCCTTGTCTCCTCCTCTTCTCTGCTTCTCCCCTTCTTTCTTCCTCCCATCTCCTCGATTTTGAGATAAGCTCTTATTACATAGCCCAGGCTGGCCTTGAACTCATAAACATCTGCCTCAGCCTCCTGAGTACTAACGTTGTAGGCCTGTGCCACCTCCTCCAGCTCATAGAAGTCTTTTCAATAAAGAGCCTCCATGAGGGAGGGAGAAGCCTTGACCAATGCCACCCACCCAGGAGGCGGGGTGCAGTCACATGTAATAGCCTGGGCAGCTCAGAATATACTGGGAACTTTTCAAAGGGAGCTCAGGGTGAAACCACAAGTCAACCCGGCCCAAGGAAGCAGCTTAACCCGGGGAGCTGAAGGGAGAGGACTGGCCTAGAGAAGCATGGACTGTGACTCTGCTCACCAGACACCTGGCTAACTGTAGTCCTGTGACTTTATGAGAGCTGGACTCTGCTGAGACATGGTTGCCGCCGCCCCCCTCCAAAAGTCCTCATGACCCCAGACTAGCCTGTCCCTTTGGGACCCCATGGCTCCCTTTCCAAACTCTAACTCCCCTCACTGCATCAGTACTCCGGGTTTTGAACCCCCACCCCATTGCCCACATAAGACTTTTTTTAATCCCAAAATATCCAGTAGCAAATAATGTTAGTATGAAATAACTGTCAGCACTTAACCAACTAACCAGTCCCTCCCCCAATCCGAGACTGCTGCCACCTTCCAAAGCAGCTAAATCCCAGACCCCAAGTGTGTGTCAGTTCCCTTTCCTTAAGGAAGTAGGTCTGGGCTGTTCCCACCTGTCCCGAGCTGCTCCCTACATGGATGAAGAGTTCACTCTCACCCCGATTCAGCTTCCTGTTTGTTGCTAGGAAAGCTTGCCCGTCACTTCCAAATTTGTCCGAATCAATCTGTCAGTTGTCTAGTTCCCTGCCAGCTTTACAGCCCTGACCCTTCTCAGACAGAAGTCGTATCTTACGTGGCCTTGAAAGTGGTCAGATCTGCCCTCTTCCTATAGGAGGAGCTCGAGGAAAGTTTGGGAGCCTGGTAGAGGGTGTTTGGATTGGGAGTGAGAGTGGAGATCTCCAGAGAAAACCACCAAGAACTTCCGTCCACACTGCCCTTTGGATTCTGGGAAGCCTGATGTGGTTGATTGGTCTTGATTGAGATGCAAGACCTAAAGTAAAAAACAGCTTTATTCTCTGTCGTCCACCCTGGACATGCTCTCTGCTGCCACCCAGTGGCTATATTGACAAAGGCCAGATGGGAAATTTAATCCAGGGGCTCTTAATAGTCATCCATGGGACCAGTAGACTGTCTTAAGTCCTCAGGGTTATTCTGATGCACATTTCAAGTTTTTGTTCTTTGTTTTTTCAAGACAGGGTTTCTCTGTATAGCTTTGCGCCTATCCTGGAACTTACTCTGTAGCCCAGGCTAGCCTCAAACTCATAGAGATCCGCCTGGCTCTGCCTCCTGAGTGCTGGGATTAAAGGCATGCACCACCACTGCCCAGCACACATTCAAGTTTTAGGAGCAGGCAAAGGGGCTTGCTGACAAGCCTTATGACCTGAGTTCAATCCCCAGGACCCACATAGCGGAAGGAGAGAACTCATTTCCACGAGTGGTCCTCTGACCTCCATCCACATAAGAACTCCAGCACGTGCATCCGTAAGTGTGATTTTTAAAAATTAAGACTATAAAAAGAACTAAAGCTCTCCAGTTGTGTAAAAGTATTCACATCCTTTTCAGGGAAGACAAAACCTGGGAATGGTATTTAAGCTTCTAAAAAAATTATGGCAGCGGGGGCTGGGGAGATGGCTCCGACCATGAGTCCTTGGGGGAGAAGCATCCAGACCAGAGTTCTGATCCCCAGAGCAGACATAAAAAGCTCGGCCCTGCAGCACATATGTGTACCCATGGCCTCCGCAGGCATGCATGCCTGCCCACACACATGTACACACACAGGGCATGGCTTGAAATCTGCTTTCTAACCGTCTTCAATCATTCTTTATCTATCCTGGGTTCTGACGCAACGCGAAATGCTTGGGGTCCTTGAACATCCCTGTGTTCACTTTTTCTAAAGATGCACTCATTGGGAAGATGATTATTTCCAAATAAAAAGCTCCGAGCCCTCACCTTTTTTCAGGCCCTCTCAGACGCGGTGTCCTCCGGGAAGCCTTCTCTGATTGCCCTAGCAGACAATGGCCATTCCTGCTTTGAACCTCACAGCTCATTTTTCCATGCTTCAAAGCTTAATTCTTATGTAATGAGAGTTACATAAGAGGTCAGAGGACCACTTGTGGAAATGAGTTCTCTCCTTCCACTATGTGGGTCCTGGGGATTGAACTCGGGTCACACGGCTTGTCAGCAAGCTCCTTTGCCTGCTCCTAAATTCCAACCCTTCGGAGCCTAAGGTCCGAGCCCTTCTCTTTTCAGCATTGGCTGGCGCAAGGCAAGTAGGCAGCAAATTCTGTTTAAAGAAACTTTGTCGAAACAGGGACTCATGACAAACGCTGGGATCAGGATCATTAGAACAGAAACGAATAGAGGAGCGTGAAGCGACCCCGCCAAAAGAAATCTTGATGTGGTCTGCAGCCCCCCTTGGGACTCTGCCTCTGGTGGGTGGGGCGGCTTTCACAACACCCGGGAACTGCTCCAGCTCCACCAGAGGGAGCCATGAGCTCCCTCTGCTGGCTACTGCATGTGTTACACCAGCACTCTACAGGTAACCCGGAAAAGCCTTCCACCGCCATCGCTAAGTTCTTAAAGAGCCCACGGGGAAGCCTGCAGCCTGCAGAAAACTTGAGTGCCACAGCTGCCACTGATCCTTAATGGTTATGGATTCTGTCTCCCACAGACTACAAGGCTTTGGTCCAAACCTGTGGTCACCTCAGGAAGATGAGGCCAACACCGTACAGTAATTTCCCCCAGCTACTCCACCTCCTTAATCTCCACCCTCCTTGCATTTCCTGGCTAGGGTCTCTATGGCCTCAACCCATTGTGGATGTTGGGGTAGAGATACCTCGGGTCTCATTTAAGAGTTGGGGCAGGAGAGGGACTTGAAACAACATGTGAGACTGTGTGCTGGCTAGTTTCAACTTGACACAAACCAGAGTCATCTGAGAGTCATCAAACCTTAATTGGAAAATTGTCTCCATAAGATCGGGCTGTAGGCACGCCTGTACGGCATTTTCTTAATTAGTGATTAATGGGGGGGAGGGCCCACCCGTGGGCAGGTGGTCCTGGGTTCTACAGGAAAGCAGGCCGAGCAAGCGATGAGGAGAAAACACTCCTTCACGGCCTCTGCATCAGCTCCTACCTCCCGGTTCCTGCCCTGTTTGAGTTCCTGCCCTGACTTCCTCTCCTCTCCACAAGGCAGAGGGTGAGTAAGAGGTCCGGAGCTCCCAGAGAGAAGCAGAAGACCGCTGTCAAAAGATGGGGAGGAGAAGGTAAGTGGAAAGGCCAGTTCACCCAATGGCTTGGGTTCACACACCGGTATTTGGGCCTCTGCAGGCCTGGGCCTCTGCGAGCCTCACCCCTCTTAGAGGGGTCCCATTTGTGTTGCTGGTGCTACAGTCACTGGAAAACAACAACAACAACAACAACAAAACCTTGTGAATAGCCTTTCTTCTTCGGGGCCACCTCCCTGGTGCATGGGTCCTGAGGCCTAGTTACAGTCCTCTTGGTGAGCGGTCCCATGACTGATAGGACAGCTAATAAGCTTCCTGAGAGGCTCCAACGGGAGGGTTCACCCAGAGGGTCCCAGTCCCAGGACCCACACTTTTTCTCTTATCTTGTGAAAATTCTCTCAATATCTTTTTGTTGCTGGTGATGGTGAGGGTCCCATGTAGGTCAGGCTGGCCTGGAACTCACTGTGTACCCAAAATGACCTTAAACACCTGATCCTCCTGCCTCTACCTCCCAAATGCTCAGATTACAGGAGTATGCCACCAGCTGACTTCACATTGGCTTTGCTTTTCTTGCTTTGTCTTTCGTTTTTGTTTTTATAGGGTGTGTTGTTTGGGGGATTTTTTTTTTTTTTGGTTGTTGTTTTCAAAACAAGTTTTCTCTGTGTAGCCCTGGCTGTCCCGGAACTCGCTCTGTAGATCAGGTTGGCCTCAAACTCAGAGATCTGCCTGCCTTCTGTCTTGTCTCCCAAATGCTGGGATTGAAGACATGCGCCACCACTGCCCAGCTCGCTCTTTGTTTTTTTTAAAGAATTAGGTGTGTTTTTTTTTAATGTATAAGGGTGTTTTGCCTGCGTGTATGTATGTGCACCATGCATGTGCAGAGCCTGTGGAGGCCAGAAGTGGGTATTGGATCCCCTCAGACTAGAGTTCCAGATGGTTGTGAGCTGCCATGTGGGTGCTGAGACCTGAACGTGGCTCTGAACGAGCGTCATAGCTCTTACCTCTGCCATCTCTGCAGCCCCTGCCTTTACTTTTCTATGGGCCACCTAGAAACTCTGGGGACGTGAAAAAGCTAGCTTGGAAGACATAGAAACTGGGAACATTGGGCCAAGGACAGGAGACTGGTTTTTCACCGTTTAACATATTGTGCTATTTACATGTTCTGTAAGATGCCACTTGAAAATTACACAGACTTAATGTACGAAATTAAAAGATACAGAATAGACAAATCACACTTTATAAAATATACCCCCACAACAGCATATAAAGGAGACTGTCCTATGTGATAACTGACTTTGTCAACTTGACACAGCCTGGAACCACCTAGAAAGTGTCTCAGTGAGGATTTGTCTACATTGGGTTGGCCTATGAGGATGTCTGTGAGGGATCATTTGAATTAGTTGATGTGGGAAGACTCAGGCCAGTGTGGGTAGCACCATTCCCTAGGCATGGAGTCCTGAACCGTGTAAGAGTCAAGAAATCAAACTGGGCACAAGCAATCGAGTAAGTGAGTATGTATGATGTACGCATTCATTCTCTCTGCTCTTGACTGTGGGCATGATTGGAGCAGTGGCTGTTGGGAATTCCTGTCTTGACTTCCCCACAATAATGGATTATAACCTGGGATTGTAAGCTGAAACAAACCCCGTTCTCTCCTAAGCTTCTTTTTATCAGGGTATTCCATAACAGCAACAGGCATGACAGAAGGACACCCTCGCAAAAGAAAAGCTAGTCATCAAACCTGAGGAGTGGAGGGAAACAGAGAGCCTGGCATCTGTGTGTGTGCTGGGTCTGTGCACATGGGGGAGACCTTCTGAAGGACAATCTGGAGACATGTACAGAATCACATTTGTGATTGAGACTGTCCTTACCCCTCCTCTGCGTATAATATTCCTTTAAGTGTCTTCTGTGATGCTGGCTTTGGTGGTCATCAACTGCCTTGGTTTGTCTTGAACTGTCTTGATTTCTCCATTATTTTGTATTGTTTTGTTTTTTCAAGACAAAGTTTCTCTGTGTAGCTTTGGAGCCTGTCCTAGAATTCACTCTGTAGACCAGGCTGGCCTCGAACTCACAGAGACCCACCTGCCTCTGCCTCCGGAGTGCTGGGATTAAAGGCGTGCACCACCACCGCCAGACTTCTCCGTTATTTTTTAAAAGCTAGCTTTGCTGGGTGTAGTAATCATGACTGGTGATTATTTTCTTTCCGGGGCTTGAAATACATCAGTATGTGCTTTCCTAGCTTGGGGAGCTTTGCCTGTGAAAGATCTGCTGTCGTTTGGTGTTTCTGCCTCTTGAAGTTGAGTTGGCGTTTTTTTTCCTGTAGCCTTTTGACTCCGGCAGACATCTTGATCATAATATATCATGGAGAAGTTCCCTGATGTCTGTCTGGGTTCTAATTGTCTCTTACGGTTGAATGTCTATTCTCTGGATTTGGGAGGTTTTCTGGTATAATTTCCTCAAGTAATTGCTCTGTGCCTTTAGTGTTGATCTCAACTCCTATCTCTTGGGTTTTTAGGTGTGGTCTCTTGATTATATGCCAGAATTTTTGGACTATTTTGTTTGTTCTTTCAGAAAACCACCTCTTTGTTTCATTGACCCTTTGTACTTTCTAAAATTTCCATTCACTTATTTGTGTATGAGTGTGTGTTCACGTGTGTAGGCAGACACATGTCACTGTGTGTGTGTGTGTGTGTGTGTGTGTGTGTGTGTGTGTGTCCTGTGGATCAAACTCGGGTTGTCAGCTTTGGCAGCAAGTGCCTTTACCAGCTGAGCCATTTTTCTGGCTCCCTTGTGGTGTTTTCCATAGTTTCTGTTTTGTTCACCTGCTCTGATCTTCATTATTCCATTCCTTCTGCTATGGCATTTGCTTTGTTCTTTGAGTGGCATCATTAGGCTGTTTATTCCCATGTTCTAATTTAGACACTATTGCTATAAACTACTTCTTACTACTGCTTTACTTACCCAGAAATTTCGCTATACCATCTTTTCATTTTAATTGGTTTCAAGAGAATTTTAAACTTTTTTTTCCTTCAGTGGCCCGATGGTAATTCAGGAGTATATTTCATTTCCCTTTAGTTACAAATTTTCTGATATTTCTCTTCTTGATTTTTCTAGTTTTATTCCATTGTGCTCATAGAAATAGGCCTGGTATGATTTTTGACTTTTTTGAATTTGTTGAGAGTTGGGTTGTAGCCTGAGACTATTGCATGGACTGAGATAAAGAATGGAAATCCTGAGGCTGGAGAATATGTGATGATCTTGCAGAGACCTGGAATTTAGCTTCTAGCACCCACATCAGGCAGCTTACAACCAACTGTAACTACTGTTCCACATGATCCTAGGCCCCCTTTTGGCCTCTGCTGGCACTGAACTCATATGCACATTCAAACACACACACATGCCCACAGATCAATACACTTAAAATTAAAAATAAAATATATAATTTCTAAATAGAGAAATTCTGGCCAGGTGGTGGTGACACACGCCTTTAATCCCAGCACTCCAGAGGCAGAGGCAGGCGGATCTCTGTGAGTTCAAGGCCAGCCTGGTCTACAGAGTGAGTTCCAGGATAGCCAGGACTGTTTCACAAAGAAACTCTGCTTCAAAAAACCAAAAAGAAAAAGAAATTCTGAAGCTGTTGGTTGAATTGTTTGTAATCACTGTTCGATCCATTTGTTCCATAGCCTAATCCGTTATTTATTTACTTATTTATATGGCCTGCTGATCTCCATTGATAAAAGTGGGGTGTTAAATAAAGTACCTATTGTTGTATTAGATTCTCTTTCCAGATCTAATACAGTTTGCTGTATATAATTTAGTGTTTCAGAACT